ATACGTGGATATTACATGTCCCCAAAATTTAATTACCATTTGTGTATCAATATTACGCACTTTGATATAAGTTGTCGCAGCGTAAGTATGTGTTTATTTGTGTTTATCACTTAGCTTTCACCGCGGGCTTGCAGTGTTGACGCATAACTCCATTACCTAATGAGCTTATCTAGTGCTTGCGCATAGTTCGTATACATTTGTAACAAATTAGCTCCACTTTTGTTATACATTGTAATGTAGTTAGCATAGAACGACAAGTAATGTACGCATCGAGTCGTAACTGAGACGAATAAAATCCATATTCTATTGCAACACAAGCACTACACAAAAAACACGAGCAAAGAAAAGTGAGTAGGAGGAGTTAAAACACAAAGATGTGTTGGTCACTCGACGTGATAACTCTATTGGTTTTGAACTGTTCTTTCCTGAAGTCCAGTAATAACTAGTTAATTACCACCGTTTCGGAGACAGAAAACTGGAGAATCGCATGTGCTTTTTGGTTGAGGAATGGGTGAAATTGCTGCTAGTTTACTGGTTGTCGTTATTGTGGAATTCCTCCATTCATCAAAGTAACCAGCATGGCACTAGCGACTGCGCCAACTCCACCTTGCAGATAACCATAGAGAATGGCAAGTGTTCGAAGCGTAAAAAATTCTGTCAATATATCATATCTAATCTTGTTAGGTATCTGTAATTCTGATTTTCATCTTGCATACGACCGTGCTTTTTGACGCGTTTCAACTTATCAACAGACAACAATATGGCCTTTTTTTTGTTAATATGCAATTACCTATGTAAACATTTTTAAAATATTTATTAAATTCGCAAAAAAAGCCAGAGGTTATCTTGCAGTATGATATTCCAACGAGCTCGTTTACACATGCCAGAGCTTAATCACCAATGCAATTTCATCCATTTCCTTATCATAACGTGCTTCGCGATGTCTCTAATCTTCTTCACAGGTAATCTTTTGCTGAGTCCCACGGTTTCCTTTTGTTGTAACTGAATGAGCGATCCATATTGGGACAAAATGAAATATATTAGTAAGGTGGCCCATGGCGTCCTCACTGACTTTGGCATGGTAACGTGTCGTAGTGGATTTTTATTATATTTAAAGGAAGAATCATTTAAAAAATCATGTGTAATCTAGTTTTCAAAATTGAAGCTATGTTGCGCATGATGTTATCGTAAAAATACCAAACATTGCTTGCAATTCTTCAGGATTACAACCATGAAATTGTTTACTTTAAAACCCACCAGCACTAAGAGCGATATTGCAATGAATTTACCTCAACTGGTTGATGGATTTTACAACCACATTTCGTCGACTTCATTCCTTTTCATTGTGCAATAAAACAGATGCACACAATTTGTTTTCTTTGCGATCACCATAGGGAGTGGATTTCATGTTGCCATCAAAACAATATGTTGACACATTATTTTATATAAAAGATAAGTCAACCTGTAAGCTGCACAAAGATGATGTGTTGACAATATCCGCTGATAACGGTGGAACATTCTTTCAAGTATATACTTGACTGTTGAATCTGTGGGATATATAATTGTTTGGAAGAATAAAAGCAATAAATTACAGATAAGATACAATACAGCAGACAACAGGCCATGAAAGAGTGGTTACTTCTACGAAGACACTATGCTATACTTACGTAAATTTAATACACAACATAATATTTGTACTTACATAAATTTAATGGCTTACGATAGCATATACTGACCGCAGGCTCATTAAACTTTCTATTTTGCAGGTCGGTTAGTGATTAGACCACATCTTCCATTTTTCAAATGCATTTAAGCAAATTTCTGCATCATGCTTACAAAACATCGTATGTTCTCCATTTAGCCACTAACCTCCATAACCCTCTTTTCTTTCTCTAATAAGAAGCTCCTTTTTGACAAGAAGCAATCAATCAAGCTTCATCCCAAGATACCTTTACGGAAATGACCTATTTCAATTACACGAGGGCGATGAAATATTGAGGTGTCATTGTTGAAATCTCAAATTATTTCAGAACTCGCTTTTGTTGTATTTATATATTACCGATTAATACCAAATACAAAGTTTTGAATTATGGCATTCCAAGTACTGTCAAGAAATCTGTCATGAAAGCAACAGGAGAGAAAAAATGCCGCGTAGGTAAATAACCCGTTTTCGAAAAAGCTCCATGTTCGGACATCATCGTGCGGGTCGATGAAAAAAACGTTCCCCGTGCTACAACATATTTCGGTATTCATAGTTGCATAAGAATCTTGAGATGGCCATGGTGTTCTGTATCTAGGTCCATGCGGCAGCACATCACGGTACAACCCGCCCTTCGCTAAAAAAGTTTTTTCTCAATTAGTGCAACATGCAGTGCCTTACTAGGCTATTATATACTTCGTTTTCTCTATGTTGGCAGAATGGATTGGTCGTTAAAACAAAGAATCTTCTTCTAAACGCATGTCAGCTTAAACAGACCAATCGCTGTTTCACTGCAGTATAAACTTACCTTTGGTTAAAGTTTAATTTACCAAGCTGAGTTGGATATAGCCCGCTCTTGCATACCACTTGATTATACCAAGGCGGATTCTTGTTACACGTACTATGTCTATATACTCAACGCAGTGTTTAGTATAATATTTTTATTCAACTAGTTTTAATACGAAATAATACGATCATGTGATGTCTGATAAGTTACTCTAGGAATACCAACAACTCCCACTGCATGCCTGACGATCCTATACGATGATTATACAGCCACCTCAAAGTACTTGCCAAAACTCTCGTGGAGAATATTCACTTGCGACGCTTATATCAATATTTTCGTAAAACTGATGTTTATTGCACTCGTTGTGTTAAGGCAATGTAAGTGGAGAAAAACAAATTGGTTACATTAGTTGTATCATAAATCACAGCGCATTAAGATAGGACTAGTTTTTGATTTGATTTTGCCTGCAGAGTGCGGAGTGTAGCAAAAACGGAGTGGATTTGGAATTGCGACCAGAGATGAATATTCTGAGTAGGAACAATCAAAACGACAAATATATAAAAAATGCATAAACTGTAGTAGCTATGTTCTTTGAAGAGGTATGTGACAATGTGACATACTGTTAGTCTGTCACCTACCCAGTCCTAGACATCTAGGAGTCTCTCCTGGCAAATTGCCTCGTAAAATAGTAATTGAGGAAATACAATATCCCAGGTCAAAGAAACATGTAAATTTTTGGTGAAAATTACGGCTATTATTTCTATATTTGTTTGCGTAACTTACCTATGTTTAAAACCGACTTTCGCATCGTATTTTAAAAAGCACTATGGAAAGGAAAAAGAATTTATTCAAATGAAAGCCTCCATGCTGTTTTGATTGTCGTATCCATTCTTCATTTCCTGCGAGTGTTGTTTGGTGGTCGGTAATACAAGGTTCGAGCTTTATTTATAATCTCCTTGAAAGGGAAGTCTAACTATTCTTGTTGTTTCAAGATGCGCAATTTGACGCGCGCGGGGGGGGGAAGGAAGAAAGCCACTTAGTTGAAAAAGTTAAACAGCAACCATCTGATGTATTTCACCCCAGCGCTGACACAACCTAGCATCGGCAGACTCAAGAATTCAGGCTAATTCATTTTGCGGATGTATTCAAATAATAAATAAACTAGCGCGCAGTTGACGCAGTTGCCTTCAGGCGGACACTTTATTAAGAGCTGTGCTTACGAGTTCTAAAAATTGCTAATTACGAATGCAAACTTATCGCTAATTCCTAAGGCTGTCGAATGGACAAGTACATTGCTGATAAATCTTTAAAAGCGGCCTTTTTGGCCTTCAAGAATGAAAGGCTAAAGGAAAAATGATGGCCTTCTCTCAACATGGCTTTCGTGATTGTTTCAGCTTAAAGTATTTTACTATGATGGACAAGCCATCAGCTTAAAGATATTGACGTTTATTAATTTTTGCTCTTCCGTTCTCTTCCATGTATGTTGTGTTTATAAATCAACGCGTTGATTATATGGTATTTATAGTAGCTAACTGTGCATGTATTTGATTTTTCCGACATAAATAAAGTGCCATGCATATATATGTATACAACTTACACGAATACTGCATCTGAGCTACGTTGAACCAGGGCTGGCGTCCTAGGTATTTATAGTAGCTAACTGCGCATGTATTTGATTTTTCCGACATAAATAAAGTGCCATGCATATATATGTATACAACTTACACGAATACTGCATCTGAGCTACGTTGAACCAGGGCTGGCGTCCTAGTTCTATTGGACTGCTTGGCTTCTCTGTATAGGAGGTTTGTGGGTTAAACAATTTATACTAATCGTGAATACAGCAGCATGATTTATCCGTTTTTTAAATGTGCTTCTATTTTAGTTTGATTGCCGTTCAATCTTTATAACTTAATTAAACTGTTTATTGTCTTGAGGTTTTCTATATTCCACTGATAACTTTCACCTTGTCACAGAGCTAGTCCTGGCTACAAGTATATATGACAGTATTCTGCCTCGTATACCTGGTATAACACAGAACTTTCACTATCGCAATAACTCTCGCACTTAAGCAGTTGATTTTGGGCGCGACCCGATCTGTGAGCAACGTTGACGAACAATTTGTGCGCCCTACGCAAACTTAGCCCCACAAAGAACTCCAGCAGCGCAACTGCGCAAAGACCTTTTCAAAGTAGCGCAAGGCTCGGGTTTGGTTTTCCGGTTTTGAAATGGGGATTCTCTCATTCCTCTGAAGCTGCAACGCCGCGTGCAAGTAATGTGATCATTCAATAAACAGAATTCATCTATCACTACTTACTTATATCGCTCTGGAATTGATGTGCATACAAAGTCTATATACTTGATTCAAAATTTTAAAAAACTCTGAAAGATCGCAGGTACTCAGGTCAGTCAGGTGAAGACGAATTTCGGAATTTCCTTAATCTGGCTTGTAAACTGACAGGTCTTAAATTATTTTTTTTCTGCACATATTCATGGTGACATTTTCCATTCCAGATTGACTCCCTCCAATATCGTTTGTGGTGGCATCTCAGGTGTTAATGAGGCAATATAGCAGAATTTCCTGATCTCTGGTTTTCATCATATTCTCTGGACTAACAGCCAAACCATTGTGGTTACACAGCTGAGGTAAGCATTATGCCGACACTGGTGCAAGTACGTGCGCGCAAAGAACCGCCACACGTCCAGCTGTTTTGCAGCGGACGAGAATTACCATTAATTTTCATCACGTGTTACAGGACGGCAAAAATTTTGACAAGATCTAAAGATGAACGATCATGAACCTCCCAATTCTAAAATGTTGCCCCCAGAAACACCATGCAGACTAAAGCGGATAATTAAAATTATTCCCAACATGCCGTTTCTCAATTTGATAACCACATGCAGGTTGACCATGATTTTGATCACGGATAATCATAGTGGAATTCTTGAATTTACTGTATCTTTGAGATCTGAAACCCGATATTATTCTTAGAGGAACAACGTGCGACTCCGGATTAACAAGTTATTAATTTGATTCCCCTTCAACAACCTAAACAAGATCTGTATTCTCAAATTTGGCTGCGTTTATACAGCATCCGGCATAATGTATTAAAATATAGATATATAGTTAATAATTCACACACATTGCAGTTACAAGGTGGCTCAAAAAATTCTGTATTTTCATGGCATTACCACTCGGTGTTTAGTCTCACATTTGTATTCGATTTCTGTTTGTCTAAATGAATTTCCCGCAACAAATTTCTCGCAAATTTCACACGCGGGGACTTTAAATTATGTTGTCATATTAAATCGGTTTAAGAAAGTTTTCCTGGGCAGTGGGCTCTGTTAACCGGGTTTGAAAACTGATTTTGCCTGATTTTCATTTAAGCTGCACTCTCATGAACTATAGCTAGGCCATTATTAATTCAGCTCATTACCGAGAGGGCTGCGGCCGCTGCGCCCATAATTATGTGTTTCCGCGTTGTTGTTCTTTAAATGCGCAAAAGATGTTAAAATCAAATAAAATAAAAACAACAACAAATAAACAATAAGGAATATCTGGCGTTTTACGCGGGGGCGAATGTCGGACCCTTCAGCTATACAAGCTAAGAATAGAAATAGAATAATAGAATGAGGCTCATGATTATAACCTTGATTCATGTAATTTTCCGTGAAGGTGTCTATATCATTAAGAAGATAACACAACATTTTGGATTAATTCAGCTGGAATTTCGTCTCAGTCGCTTTTTTATTTTTTTTTCGCAAGAAGTGTTGAAATCTTAACACCAAGTATCCACCATCCGGGCTAACCAGGATGCGTGTGGGAAGTTTGATTGATTTTCTTTGATGAGTTAGCCAACCGCAGAAGACTTGTGCCAAAGTCTACATTTAAAAGTGAGGAAACACCGCAAACTGCTTTTCAAAAACAGTTCAACACGACGTGAAGCGCAACTGTGGTCTGTGGATATATTTTTATTGAAGCATGGAATAGTTACTTCGCTTCCTTCGAATAAACTATAACCTGGGAGAACTAACGCGTGCGTTCTTTTTGTGCAATAAAGAAGAATCTCTGCTTCACGGTAATTCCAGGGTTTTCTTGTTCCATCACATTCGAAATCCAATCATTTACTTTGCTGGTCTTCCTAAGAGCCCCGTTTGAATAAGCTGATCAGTAGAGTAGCATGTTTTGCTAGAATGATTAGCGTGACTCCTGTTATTTTTTGTATTTATAAGTACATTAAGGGAAATTTTTAAAGTGATTTAGTGACCTTGACTGTGCCTTTTAATAGAGAGAATAGTCTCGAACATGTAGATGTATCCGGTGTTAAATAGAATGTTTAAGTCGCTAACAATTACAAACCCGTCATAAGTACAGGTCAGACAGACTATATTGAAATCATTAACTATTTGGGTTTTGAAATAGGGTTGGTCAACTTAAGTCCACTAAAAGTTTTGCATGGGGGTCAAAACAATAGGGATTATAACTTTTGACTGATTATGAGAGGAATAAAGTTTATTCTCTTATAAAAAAGAAGTTCCTGATTATCCAAACTTGGCGCTAGTTTATCAGTCAAGTAACCGACCCCTAAACCATCCACTCCTGGTAAACCCAATTAAACGATGTTGATGAGCATAACTTTTTATGGCAAACCGGCTGAAAAGAACGAGATTTCTGGGTTGGAATTAATACGTATTATAGCTATAACTCAACACTTAACACTTAACTTACCACTACATACAATATCAATATTCTAGCACAAAGCTTGTTTTCCACACTAGGCTGAATTTTGTTGTTTGGAATGATTAAATTTGCTATTTTTTATTATATTGCCCGGTCGTGAGGATTATTCCGGCTTCTATGATTTTTCCGCAAGCCAATTCTACTGCTGATATTTCGATTTTTCTGGCTCCCACGTATAAGTGGATATGTGCATAGCGAACACAATATAATCTAGCATCATTCATTTTCTCACAATTGTGAGTCCTCAGTGCTCTTAGCAATATTTGAGCATTTGAAGCTTCTCGCATTCTCGTGGGTGCAATATGGAAACCAAAATCGACGTTAGGTTTAGTATATCATCCTTGCAATTTGTGGAATTTAAACTATGACGTCAGCGAATGACGTGACTAATGCGTATATTTGAGTTGAAACAACTATCTCTTTGTATAAACTCTCTCAGGATATGTGCAAGAAAAATGTTTAGCATTAGGCTTAAATATGCACTATTGAAGCAAGAATGGAAATTAAACCAGATATCCTCCCATCCATATATACAGATATACTAGGTTTCAAAACTATACTACGTACCAATTTACACTCTTTACCCATAGATGTCCCCTAGTGCCAGAGCCCTGGTGCGATCTCTTATCGCTCCAGTGTCACAGCATTTCGATATTCCTACGATCCATTGCGGCGTCTTACATAATCATTTCAAGGGAAATTGATCTGTTGTTTTTAACAATCTCCTCCGACCGCAATGCACTGTAGGTAAATCGAGAGCGGCCATATTTTTCATTATCGCGAACTAAACTACTCTCTCGTTTGTAATATATGCAGTATATTCAGTGAAACATTGTTGCAGGTTTTGCACTGAGAACGGTAGTAATCATTGACATTCCAATGTCGTTCATTTACCCATTCCTCCAGGGACTCCCACCTCATTAATCCTTAACCTTTTAACATGTAGTAGAAATGTGCAAACATGGCCAACGTTTACTTTGCGATAATTAAACATAATCCACACAATACATGTCGTGATTGAACTCATAAAATACGAAACGCCCACTCAATGACGGCGTTTGTAACCATATCGTGTTGTCGTGTGCGTCTCCCCGGTCTTGTAAACCCAACCCTGATGACTTAATTACGCTGCCTTTGTTTCTTTGCAGCCTGTACGTGGGTGGCTCGAGATTAGTGTTCAAAACAAGAAGATCTTGATTGTCGTGTCTTATTCCGATTCACGAGGCTGTAGGAGTTCAACCCCACGAGAAATTGGTGGGAAGGAAAGGATAACTCGCTTATAGGAGGTATGTGCCGAACTTAATAGTGATAGACAGGTAATCGCATCACCATATTGGTGAATTTTACAGAAATGTTCCTAGCTTGCAACGGTAGCAAACTACAATCGGTCCATACCATCATGCTATTTTGCGCTTCATTACCTTATTATTATGTGCGTCAGTGTTCAATCGTGCAGATATTTTTGAACTTACCCCTATTCAACCTAAATTATTTGTATGCGGTTAACTTTCTTACAATTTATTAACTCGTGAAAGCTCGATTGCATATGACGTCAATATACTGGTGTTTGTTTCTTAATCTCGCTACCAGAATATCCGTCGTGAGCCCACTCCAACAATTACCAGACACTTGTAAGAATATCCTCGTTTATTCAGAAAATTGGAAAAGATTTGTGCCAATTATACGTAGGTTTTATCACTATAGGTGGTCAGTACTGCCAAACGCAACTTGCATTCATTTTGCAATGTCGGTTTCACCTCGTTTGCGGTCGAAATATCTAATGCACCATTTAGCCACACAGATAGATTTAACGCAATTAACCTTGGGCTACAGTAATGGTCGACTTAACATAGTTTCCCAATCAAATTTCCCATCAGTGTCTAGCAGTTATTCCGGTCTCACGGGCTCACAAAAACCGGATTTTCCATTATTTCCTTGAATGCAGACATCTGTCACAATGTCTTTTTGCCTCTTCTGTTGTTTTAAGACAGTTTTTACAACAAATTTTAGGTAAATTTTAAAGTCAATACATTAGCTTGTTTCCTTATGTACATTGGGGGTCATGAGAGGTCATCGCCTGGAACTGAGAAAGATCTTGTTAAATTCTGATAACGAAATCAATATTTTTCGAATCAGATCGGTATTTTAAAAAAAGTACAAATAAATACCTATAACGCTCTAGATCGCTATGAGTATAGAGAAAGTTTTCATTTCTTAACCTTATACTAGATGTCAATTCTCATAACAAGACTTCGTTTTCGCAAATCAGTGTTTAAGCTACCGCTAAATGAGGTTGTCAGTTTGTGACCGCAGATGTGCTATGTATAGGATTTTTGTGGTGAGCACGTTATTATTGACTTACTGTGAGTGAAATTTGACGGTTTCTATTACTTGGCTTATATAAGTTGAAAAATCTCAGCATGGCAAGTTGGCAACTGCTTGGCAAAGAAGACGAAATTGAATTTTGACTCACTTTCAGGAGTACGACTTTCCGAGTACGAATGAAATTTATTATTATTCCTGGCAGATCTAGTGTACAAGGCATTTCGGTATCTGATATTTTTGAAAACTGATCTCTCAGCCTTGTGAAGAGCGTTGATTGAACGCTTAACAAAACGGTATATTGATCGATCATTCCACACTCATCTCGGAGCAAATTTTTCAATGATGCCTGTTCATGCAGTTTCGCTTATAGACTGTTTTATAATATATCAAAATTCCTATAGAACTGCATCATTAAAAAAATCGCTCAGTTGTTTAATGAGAAGGACAAGAAGTCAGCTACATGTCTATTAGGTATTTTATTTCCAGATATAATCATGCGAATGCACTAAAAATTATATGTAGATTTTTAATGTCGGTCAATTTGACAAATGTATCTGTATCAAGGCTGAAAGCCTGAAATAATACAATAATTCCTTAATACCTTAAGGGATATTGACGTGCTAAAAGCTTGGATTATCAATGCAAACATCGTAGTGTTTCATATTTACACAGATCCACAGCATCGTGAATTTTTATACTAGTTAATAAAAGACAGGCCAAACATGCTGCTAAAAACGTTCCAACTGACGGTTTTAATCGCCAGAAACAGGGCTTGTGGTAGCGCAACATTGCAAATCACTTAGGCTTAGTCCATTTAGTTGGCGAAACTGGTCCTTTTGAACATTCGTATTTGCCTGTTGTTTGCAGATATTCCTCCATGTTATTTACCTTTGGTATTTTGCAATATCAACCCAATGGCAATTATCGTGTATCTCACACGCAACGCTACAGTATTGTTGCAGATATTGCGTGGTCATTAACGTTGGCTTTATAGCTCATTTACCTTAAATGCTCGGCTGCTTCGTTTAATGTCATTCAGACATCTTGATAAGAAAATAAATACCCTCGTTAAAAAGCAAAAGATTTTTCAATTAACGAATCAGCGATATAGGACAAAAATGGATTTCATGAATTTTTCATGTTTGTTATCGTTACCGTGGGAGAACTAAGGGCAAAAGTCTGTTGGAAAAAAGCACGTCGACGATGTTGCATTTATTCAGTATGCGAATTCAAGATACGGCGTCAGGTCGGATAATATATCCGAACTTTTACCCTTTCAATTAGGATAGCCCATGCAAGCAATTGAATAGCCCAACTATATTCCCTGACTGAGCTGGGCAACTGGACATTTTTCCTTCTGAATAAACCAATTCCACCCTCAACTCGACCATTTGCCGCTTTGCACGTAACCGGTTTTAGAAAATTGATAAAAATCATCCATCAGGAAGCACATGGAAAACACGTTAGCTGAGAAACTATGAATAAACAACGTTTGTGACGTCATTTGGGACATACCCAAGGAACATTATTAACTAGTAACTCGACGCAATATTGCTCAAAATTTTTATCTATTTATCGCGATTTAGGCTAATACTTGTTTTAATATATATGCTGTTCTTACTGCAATTATAATTATAACTGCAGAAAGATTTTAACTGTCATTTACATTTATTTATATGTTCGCCTGTTCTTGTATTCAAGCAATATTCTCAGAATGGTGTTCTGATGTATCTCGATCAGTACTATATATTTCTTCGAAGCTTTTTAGTAGCTTTTATGTGTTCCCAAAGCGGTCTCTTTTTGTACAAACCAGACATACTTTACGCCCTTTGGATCTTGGCAAGCATTCACAGATTACCAATATATAAATAGCGATGACAGTAATTTCACGTTGGGCTTCACCACGAATCAACTCGTTTGACTATTTAAGGTATCATCATGTGAACCTCATGTTCTTATAATTTAACAGTCGTCGTACCCATGTTTTAACCATTAAAGTACATATAATCGCGTCAATATTTTCGATCTTGAATCTGGCAACAAAATCAGATGATACACTTGCTTAAATAGCAATAAATAATCTCCCAAGAGGATGACGAGTCATTTATCACTGATAACACACCATTTTATGGTCAGGTACAGATAATATATTTTGCATGTCGTGTACTCCCACATTGCCTTAAAACAGCTGTGTCAAAATTTGTCCTAAATTTGGGAACTCCATGCGTGCACAATTGTTAGAATGGACATACACCAGAATCGAAAGGTCGAATATTGGATCCCTGCCGCAAGGCAAATAGTTCTCATATTGCAATTTTCATTCACAAAATAACGCCTTATCATTCCAAGTATTGGTCGACCTAAATACAAGTTATTTTCATCTCCTTCATAGACGGAATTGATAACAAAATATTATCAAAATAATTTATCAATCTGCAAACTTTAAAGCTCTTGGTGGTCTCTCTTGAGAATGATCTCATTGACTTTCATTATATGCGCGGAATGACTACAACCAGGTGATCCGAAGTGGTGCAAAAGGACTGGGAATAGTTGCCGAAAAAATCCTCTCGGTTTAAAGTTGATATCTGGTGAAATGTTTTGGTTTGAAATTTATGTCAGAGATATAGCCTCGCAAAATAATATCACAAAAATCTCATGGTGTCATAAAGAATAGCAAATGATATCATCGATTGAATATACTACAATTAACACTTCTAGGCGCTGATTGGCTAAAATATGAGCATGAAATCACGTGATTGAATATAATAATAATCACAGGTGTAAAGGTCGTAAAAAGAAGTGGAAGGGCTTACGTTCTGTACGTCATTCTTCTTTCCTCGTGTGTTAGCAAGTCGAGAAAAAAAGAGTTAATCTGGAGCAAGTTTGCATAGTGTCTCAGCATCAACCAAGGAAAAGCTCTCCGTCCAGTCTTTCCCCAATTCTCTTTTTACATTTCAACTCCTCGATCCCCCTTTTACCCTTTCTGACACCCGGCATCTTCTAGCTCTAGCTAGTATGTAAAATCAAACGACTTTACAAAGACTTTATTAACTCCTCCTGTATACATGCACTGCTTTCATGGTGTTCAATTAATATGAGATCAGATAGACCTAATCAATTCATCAAATGTTGTTTATAACATAACGTTATTTCTCGTTCTCCCAAACTCCCACGCTTGTTTCTTAAATAACAACTGCCTAAAATAGGGCAAGTACATTGAGGGGAAAGCACATGTTTTGAATGGGGGTAAAACATGTCAAAATATCGAAACAAATTGGACAAAAACATGCCAAAGAGACACCTGAATGCGGAATAAAAATAGCTAGCTTATTTGAAAAAGAAACTACATTACAATCTGCTCATAACTCTTCTGTCGATGTTGAAGTCGAAACGTTGACAATTTTAGGCTGTAGACTACACCACATTTGATGCAAAGTTGTTGGAAGGGTAAAAATAGATGTCTTCTATAAACTGTGATTAAAAACGTTTTTCCGACTGAAGAAAACATTTGGGAAGGCTGAGCTGAAAAACATGAGGAAGGTTGCTTTGCACACCAATCTTTTCTATGCTTAGTGGGCAATATTCTGTTTTTAACCAGCTGTTACACCCGTCGCTTTTCAATTCAAGAGCCCATAGTCTCGTTTAAAACTAATTCTTAGATAAATATCTTTAGGTTTTTGAAAATTCATTTATCAAAATGTAGCAGTTTAAATACTTGTATTCTCCATGAAATCATGCAATACATGCCAAGTAATCCATCTGTGCTTGAATTATACAATATACATGTTTTGGTTTGCAATCTTTCACACGCCCATGTTCGAAATCAAGTTTTACCGAGGCTTTCACGTGTAAGTGCATAGATTATCAATTTTCTTCATCATGTTATGAATTTGATCAATTCATAAGATATAAAGAAATACGGTAAAAATTTATCAAGCTGTCTAATGGTTTAAATATTTTA